TTTAAACCACTGAGCCATTTTCTCTGACAACATGCTGTGTTCCATTAATTTCCACCTTAGCCAGTTAATTAAGGGATGCATTATTTTCCCCTAAACTCAGAATACTTTGTTTATTTTCCTTAAGATAAAATGATAGGAATGTTTTATGTATGAGAAATAAATTTTTAACATGAAAAATAAATGTTAAGAGAAAAGTGAAGAAAAGGCCATTTTTCTCCTTCCACATACCAAATCCGAACACGTCATTCTATATTGCTTCTCCACATTCTCTTTGCCTTTTTGATATTATCTTCAGGAATTTACTAATCATCACAGCTACAGCTTAAGGAAGTTTAGGAAGTTTTAATTATATGTCAGGAGACAAAAGGAAGAGACATCATTGTGACAAGTACTGGCTCAGTATCCCTGCAAACTAGACCATGTAGGGTGACTGGGAAAAAAGATAAAAATCTTTGTTTATTTCTCAAGCTTATAGTCAGTTCACTTGGGATAGCCAAATGACAAATGCAAGCAATGAGAAGGATCACATAGGAAGAAATAAAAAATGAAAGATGTTGTAAACTAAGAAAGGAGATATGACAGAAAGGATGGGACTTGAATTATGCAGAGAAATTGTGCAGCACTAAACAGGAAGAGAAGAGTAGCACAGCCATGCAGTCTAGGTAGAGGGGTACACATAAGTAGTGCTCAGAGAACTAATGTGATTTGTTGAGTTTGCAAGGGGACTTCAGGGAGGGGACAATGGAGAAGGCTGAATTACTGGAGTAGTGAGATAAGAAATCTGCACCAATTTCAACCAAGAGATATTTCATTAGATATCACAGGCTATTGTAAAATCAGATCTTGGAGGCACCACAGCCAATTTAAAATGACTCCATAATCCTTTACCCTTATTGACCTTTTACTTTATTTTCTAGCAATTTGCAAGAATTGAATGTCATAGAAAAAGACTTGGGGAAACTTTTATTAAAGTTTTGCACAATGTATTGTCTCATTTAAAAAAACAAAACAAAAAAAAAACAAACCAATGTCTTGTGTATGCATTTGAAAATATTTGATGCTGGGCAGTGGTGGTGCACATCTTTAATCCCAACACTCAGGAGGCAGAGCCAGGCAGATCTCTGTAAGTTCCAGGCCAGCCTGGTCTACAGAGTGAGATCCAGGACAGGCGCAAAGCTACACAGAGAAACCCTGTCTCAAAAAGCCAACAGAAAAAAAAATGAAAGAAAAGAAAATATTGAAATGATATAAAATGAAAATCTTGTACTTTTTGAATAGTTGTTTGTTTAATAAGGTTTCAGCAAACCACAATAGAACAATTTATTGTAAAATACAAGCACATTCAAAGCTAGGCCGGAAGCTTCGTGGAATTTTTATTTATAATTTTGAAAGTTTGGGTTATGTGATAGAAACATTAGATTCTTGACTAAATGTGTTTTAAATGATGAAAATTAAGTTGTGTTGACAAGATTTTTATTATAAAATTTCCAAAAATACACAAAAGCAACCGTGGTTGAGCAGGTAAATACCAGTAGCCTTTTTGGCTGCTCTCTTCAGAGACACACAGCCGAGAAGGCACCTGGCCTTTCATTTCACACCTCGTAGAGTTAAAATGGATCTTCTTCAGTTCCACAGGAACTGGTTAAGACAAGATAACACCAAAAGGAGGTCCTTATAGTAAAGTCCAACTTCCAGAAGCACTCAATGGACTCGTGAAAGAAAAGCCTGTATCATAGAGGACATCAGTAAACAGACCACCTACGATTTTACTAGGCCTATTTGATTTGTTTAGTTTTTATTTTATTCATATATAAAAGGGATCTTGATAAAGAAGATAAGGCCTTTAAGATGAAAAAAAAATCATTGCTGTAAAAGAAATAATTTTCAACCCTCCATGAATACCACTGGAGAGAGATAAAATATCTTACTTTTTTCCCCATATTTTGTCTGGTCACTTAAATTTTTTCTACTTAACCAGAGTACTGGTGTCAGATGAGGTGTAAGAATGTCCTGTTTTGACAACATATTGAATAACATTTGAATACAGATAGTCTGAAAAACTTTACTATTGACATATTAGAGCTACTCAGGAAATTATTGTTCCATTAACCTACTGTTCCTCAATGCTGGAGAGTGCATGTCACCCACTGATTCATTTCATCCTGGTGGAGAATTCTGTTGTGACATTGATAGCTTACAGAAGTAAGATTTCTTAAAAGAGGATTGCTTTTACTAATTATACTTCCTGGACTTGTCAACTAATTTTTAGAGTTCCATGTCTAAGAGTGAGAAACCCAACAAGATAAAACGTGATAATGGTTATATCAAATTTCTCATTCAAATGAGAATGGGGTAGTCAAAGCTCCTCATTGCTAATTACCATGCCATGTCCTCATTATGCCCAAAGTCAATATCGGTGAGACATGGAACATGCAGCTATGCATTTAAAAAAAATGGCCTTTACCAACATGGTCCATAGCCAAATTCTTCTTAGCAGAGGCCACAAGTTCTTCCTACCACCCACTCTTCTTATTCAGCATAGAGATGTGAGCAAAAGAGTCTATTGAACTCTGTCTCCTCATATAGCCATCATTTTACATGTTCTTGTGACTTTATTTCAAGTTCCTCATACATAGTGTGTTGAAGAGTCAGTTCAATCCAGGTTTTAAAATCTTTTGAATCTTGTTCCTGTTTTATTACAAATGCATGAGAACCTTTTGTGAGTTAATGTTACCAGAAATCAAATAAAAGAGATAAAAGAAGTTGCATTGATCATTTCAGAGAAGAATTTCAGTTTGGGCACCTGTGCTCATAAAATAATAGTGTTCTTTGCATTAAAGAGAAATGGCATATTGACTAAAACTCTTAAAACATAGAATTAAAGAAACTCTAAGCCATAAAACACTGGAGGAATGCTTGCTAACTTTAACTCTAACTTAACTTAGTCCTGACAACAAAATATGATGGCAACAATATTGGAGATAATTTCTAAGGACGGCTTAAAGACATTCCACTTGTATTTAATGAAAATATGCTTCTTAAAAGCTCAAATATTTGACCTACATTCTACTTCAGGATATTTGTTTTTGGTCAACTAAAGAGTTGAAGCCAGTCATTCATTTTCAAGGGGACTTAAGAACAGCATGCAATTACAAGATTGAGAAATGGTTGTGTACATAAAGAAATTTAAGCAAATCACTAAGTATCAGATGAAAATCATTTTAAACATTTTTATTATTTTTTCATCAATGTATATTTCTAAGATTCATGAGATGGCATGTAAGTTTATCATTATAAGTAAAAATATCATACCGTTTTCAATTAAAGATTCCCTGAAATAAATACCCATGAAAGATGACCATGCCAATAGGCTCCCTCTATGTGACAGTTTTCGTGCTCTAAGCAAATTAAAAATATATTATTTTGCTATGTAAAGGGGTCCATATATTCAGTGTATGAAAGGACTGCCATAGAATAGAGCACACAGTGCCTTGTATATTACAGTCATACAAAAATTGCTGAAATAAATTGTATATGAATTTTGGTAATATCACCACCTAACCAAAAAAATTATATTATTTCACACTTTTACCATAATTACAGTACTCAAAATCACTGCTGTATTTGATGTTTAGTTATTTTCTAGTTAGCCTTCAACTCTACCTATTTTTCCTGCTTTCAATTTTGAGTCATCAACCTAAAGATAATATAATGAGCATTACCCAGAAAAGGTGTTTTGTCTTGTAAGTGCACGTTGGGGAATAATTCATCTCCTCACCAAGAGAAAATATTAACAACTAAATTAAAGGCAAAAGAAATATCATAAAGAACAAATAATTCTATTATCTGTTTTATTATTATCATATAAGACCTTATCCTTCATAGCAGTGGTTCTCAATTTTCCTCATGCTGCAACCTTTAATACAGTTCCTCATGTTGTGGTGACCACCAACCATAAAATTATTTCGTTGTTACCTCATAACTATAATTTTGCTACTGTTATGAATCATAATGTGAATATCTGACATGCAAGACATCAGATATCTGATATGTGACCTCAAAGGAGTCATGGCCTACAGGTTGAGAGCTGCTGCTATATAGGTACAATGTCATCCTAAAACAACACTTGCAGAAGGTTTTAATTTTCATGTCTGGACACCACTTAACTTTGAAGTTGTTCAGCTGTGTTACTGTCTACCCTTTCAATTGAAAAACATTGCTTAAAATGGGCTACCCACATGTTTTGTATAATTGCATGGAAATTTCCAGTTTGTTACAGAAGTATTGGTCAAATTTGGTTTATAAACATTCTGATGTTGTATGTGTAAAGAAATACAAGGGTGTACATATGAAATATAACATGAGTGTGCATAATATATGTCTCCACCTTAAGTTTTGATATTGTAACATACATTGGCATTTTCTTGAAGGTGTAAAATAGAAATTTCAGTATTTGATCTATAAATATGTGTAAAGGTATGAAATACAAATCCCAGTATTTAATCTATAAATATGTGCTGATAAATGACACAATGCTAAATGAAAATATCCTGGTTAGTTCTAAGGGTTAAAAGAAAAAAATTCTCTGCTATTGTCCATATTTTATCTATTTTTAAAAACCATAGGGGGAAGTACTTTCAGGGAAAAAAAATGTCCAAAGCTTTACTGTGAAAGAAATGAATGCAAGAAATAGCGCTTTAAGTAGTGAGATGTGAAGCGTTGCAACTTCACAGCCTGCTAAGGAGCAACAGCTGTACCTAATTTCAACTTGACGTGCTTCAGATCTCATATTCATATAGTTATTTAATGATCCAAGCATAATGGTCCTATATAGAATAATTACTTATATGAAGGAGCAAACTTCATACGCATTCCTTTTTAAATGTTCCTTCAAGAGAAAAACTGTTCTGACTCTGAACAATGAATATTCTCTCTCACCAATCCAAATGTTTGCGACTAAATGGCTTATCTTTCAGGAGAGAACAGTCATTGTGCCATGCTCACTTCTTTCTGACAGACTCTCTTTGCTTCCCCCCTTCCCAGTATAACCAGTACAAGGAAAAAAGGTAGAAGGCCAACCCAATCATTAAGTCATAGTAATAGATAGTGGCAAGAAATATCAGAAACAAAAGGAGATAAGGTATTTTAGAGTTGATGTATCTTGAAAGCAGAGAGTCCCTGCCCTGAGCTTCGACTTCCTGGGTAGGGAGGGTAGCAGAAGCAGGGCTCTCTGATCCTTTATCATCCGAATAGCATCGTGAGTGTCCAAAACACATCAATTCTTCAATGTCAGACCTTGCCTCCTCCAGATTCTCAAGAGGTTCACTGATTAAAATCATTGGGCCTTGGGATTTTTCCAAGCTACCATCTTTGTGTTGGAGAATCGGCCCCACATGTCGTTCTCTTCCACTACCTGATTCCATTATTTCCGAACTTTGGGAAACATCATTAGGTTTAGACATGGCATGGCCCAGGATCTCACTTTCTGGGTGGCAAGTATATTCCGATTTGATCGGAATAGATTGGAGTATTGAGTTAGTAACTGCTTTCTCTTCAGCAACTCGCCATCCAGAAGAGGGTACTGAATTTTTAGAGTGGCATCTGTAGACTTGAGGGCTGCCCTGAGAAGTGCTGGGAGTGTCCGAATTAAATGCAGAATGAACAGCATCCAAGTCTGTTCTCCGTGGTAATTCTTGAAGCAGCTCAAGATCTTTATTTTCTGGGAATATTGCTTTGTCTGTTGGTAAAACTCCCAAATGTAAATCCAGCTTTGACGTAGCTTTTTGATTGCCTGTAATGACCTGCGAAGGTTCGTCTATAGATGTTACAATTCCAATTCCACGTTTCTCCTTGTCATATGTCTTCCTACGATTGTATGTAGATGTGGTTGCCTCCTTCTCCATTTCATCTACATGTACATTACAAATAGCTGAATGTGACTCCCTTTTAAAATCATTGTCATGGATTACACCTGCTGTATCTCCATGACAAAGGGTATAATGTGAATCATCCTTCCTCCCTTCATGAGGATCAAACGCTGTTTCTTTTACCTCGATGGGCCTGTCACTGCGTGCTGTCTCTTGAGGTAGCTTAGCAATTATTGCTTTTCCTCTAGCAGACATGCTTTCTGGAGTACTTTCTAATGTTGTCTTAATTATATAAGCTGTAACTGCTTGTGCTTTTTCAGTAATACCATGATGGGCTAGAGAAGACAGTTCATAGCTCTCTGTCTCCTGGCAGGTAAACAATTGTTCTGTAGGAGTAGCTTTCAGACCTCTCGTGTTATCTCTTTTTTCCCACACATCTTTACACTCTGCTTGTTCTTTGATCTGCTTGGTTATATTTGTTTCAATCCCTCTTGTTTCTGGCTGACTTTCCAGAACATTCCAACTTTTTTTATGCTGTGCATTCATATTCTGATCTTCAGGATTACTAGAGTCTGATTTTCCCCTTTCAGCTCGAAAAAGATAATCATCCATCAGAACACTGCCATTTCTTGGTGAACCAAGATGAGTAGTTCCTGGTTCTAAACTGGAACCTTCGCCAGCTTCTCCCCAATTCACTTTTGTCTTTGTTGAAGGAGAGGGATCTACTGTTACTGTCCAGGTGGTAGTTGTAGTGTCTTTGCTTAGTAGGGTGGTTGTGGTTAAGTCCTCGTTCTTAGCTTTAGTGCCCTCAATGCTTATTTTGGGGTGCTCCATTTGCCTCTCTTGGTTCTGGAATATTGATTGAAAATTCTTGCTTTGGTTTTCACTAATACCTAAGCATGTATTCTGCTCCTTTCCATCATTGCCCTTGGTATAATCATTTTTGGAAGATGCACTTGATTCTTCCAGGTTTGTGGATGCCTCTAAATAGAAATCACTTCTTGAATATCTGTAATCTTTTATTCCAGGTTTCTTGATTCCTGCTTCATTATTTTTCTTAAGGCCATCTGCCATTAGTAGGTCAGAGGATGAACATGTTATTTGCACTTTGCCACTCTCATGGGCTGGGTTGGCATTATCATCCAGGACTTCTTTGCTGCAGAGGTTCAATTGCATTAATTCATCAGAGCTAGCATCTCCCAGTGATGGCCCCATTTCTCCCACATATGAAGGAATCTCCTCTGAAGTTTGGTGACCACATTCATTTCCTGGGGAATGGTTTTTGCTATGGTAGGCTGGTAAACTTGGAGACAAAGGCCTTCTGAACAAGTCAGTATGAATTTCATGATAATCTTGCTTCTTCTCTGACCCCTCAGCTGTATTTCTGAAATTGACTCCATCTGTTGAAAATGTATTCTTTTCATCCCAGGAAGTTGTTAGCCGTTGGTTTATCTTATGGAATAAAAACAACAAAAAATAAGGACAATATGATCTTTTAAAATATATGAAAAGTGAATTACATTTTATTAGCTCAAGTAATTATCTGGTAGATTTCCTTGGCTCAATTCATTTGTGGATTTAACACAAACTCTGAAAGTTGGATGTTTGGGGCAAGATCTTTGTAAGGTATGACTTGGGAATGAGATCAGTGGGAAAAGGCCCAAATTAATCACTCTCCTTCTCAGCTTCCAAATATCAGATTGTATTATTCACCCATTCTGCTTGTCAGTGCATTTTTTCCTCACTTAGGATATACACATTGATAGCTCCATGCTAATCAATTAGAGAGCAGCTTCCTGGATGCCCCTTGCCACGTTTATATGTGCTGTAGGTGCCCCCATTACAGTTTCTCTTATTAATATGTTTTCTGCAAAGCCTCTGCAAACTATTAATAGCAAAACGTCACTCAAAGAAAAGTGAGGGAGTTAATGTTTCTGCAAATTCTGTTTTAATGACCCTCTGCCAACTGGTACTCAAATGTATTTGAGCTCTTCAGTGATGCCAACTGTCAGGATTTAACAGTGAGATGCCTGTGTTTTTTTTTTCCTCCTCATAACTGACATTTGCATGATCTCAATAATTATATGCAAATCTTACGTTTTCCCCTTCTTCTCACATAAGGCTCATGTTACTTGTCAACTGCACAGCTGTCTTATAAGCCAATGCCTGTGGGTTCTACAGATTTGGTTGTATTTCCATCCATTATGGAGCTTCATTGTTTTATGCAGTCACGTCAGCATGGAGCAAATTAGCATCTAAATTACAGCTCCCTGTTCATTTACTGGGCGTATACTCTCAGTAACTTCTAAACAAACTTTTATATTTGAGGCCGCTCATGGTAATGAGGTGTATTGGTGAAGTATGTGATTTTTCAGGGGACTTTCATTATATTCTGTGGTTTGAAAAAAAGGAGATGTTAACTTTCTGCTGGTAAGAACTCTCACAATGGGTGACAACTTCGTACTGCCTTAAAGTGGGAGCCCAGTAAATTGCATACGTTAGTGGTGCCGTTGCCATCTCAAGATCGCAGAGGTGAAATGTGTGGGCAAAGAGAAGAGTTCTAGTTCCTTTTGGCTTCAGCACTGACACTTGAAGAGGGAAATGTCATTTTAATCAAATGTGATTATGAATCCATGTATCCCCATGCTATGAGCTCCAACCGAATACAGTAACAGATAAATTGCATTATGTGACTCATTTACTTCTATTTCTCATTGTGTGTTCAAAGTGCAAACTAAACCATTTCCTCCAAATTTCAGAACAGATTTGATGTGCACCAACTGTGAAATTTGTGCTAACAAATATTATACTAAATTGTACATTACCAAATTTGATTCTTGTTTTAAAATTATGTAGCACTCAGTAATTTACTATTTTACCATGATAAAGAACTTTGGGATTCTTACTCTGACAGAAATAGTAAAGCAAAAGACTGCAAAACATAAGAATTATAGGCTTGTCAGTTGGATAGGGCCTTAACCATTTTCTATTCCAGCCCTCTTATTTTACAGACGAGTTTATTCTAAGTGTACACTTGTTACAAAGATTAGACGTACACATCAGGATAGTGCCCCTTGCTTCTAATTCCCTCAAACTATTATTCAGAGCCAGTGGCAAAGAGATAGGAAATGAATGTCATTAATTCACCACTGCAAAGCGCAGAAGCAACACGCTGAAATCAAAGTGCCTTGTTGCTCTAGCTCAGTAGAGATGCTGGGACAGAATAGGCTTTCTACATTTGCAAATTATATTAACTGAGGCCATTGGAAGGCAGGAATTGCAGCATCTTTGAAGCATAAATAGATTCATCTTCTCTAATACCGTGGCAACTAAAACACTTACCACCAAGTCTAATTCTTTTTCATTATGTTCGTCATGCTCCCTTTTGGTATCTTCTACATTCTGATGACTGGCTCCCAAGTCATCCTTGTCTTCATGAGAACAAATGATTGTTGGGATGTAGGCCTCTGAAAAGTTAATATGATTAGTTTTTAAGTCGAAGATTGTTTGCATTGCAGAGTTTAACAAAAATGGATTTTGTTTAATTTTAAATAAATATTACCTGTGAACTTCAAATTCTCAAACTTATTTTCTCCAGTGGTTAACAATGATTCTTCTTTACTGCTAAAAGTCAGAAAAACAGACATTTGTTCTGAAATGACATCTTTTAAAGTATCTTTACATAGTGGAAAATGAACAGTAAAACAAATAAATATTTTTATAACCTTTTGTAATTCTGTATTACTGTCTATAATTTTAAATAAAACTTAAAAATTTAAGTTTTTAATAAATTTTTTAGGATGGCACAGTAATCAATACTGATTCTAGAAAAATTTAAATAATTATGCAATGACATATTTCTAAATGAGATTTTTTTGTGCTTGTTATGCTTATTAAAACATATCCAGAGTGAAACTATAAGCAAAAGTGTACCATTCATTATATTTTTTTTAACCTTTCAAATTGAGAGCATTTCCCTTTTGGTTTAAATGACAGTAGTTTATGAACTGATCTTCCATTGTTGTTATGAAATTGTTTTCTAGCTTTTCAATAATTACGTTTTTCATCTTCTTTATCTTTCAATTTTATTGAAAAATAAAGAAAAATAAAATAAAACAAGCTCACTAAAACCTGAAAGGCAGCTAAATTTATACTCAAAAATTTCATGCATGAATTGCCACTGGCCAGTTGTAAAATGGAGACTTCAGAGTGCTCACAGGAAAACACATAACTTCACTTTCAAATTATTCAGATTACATTGCGTTTTCTAGTGTATTCTGCGTTCTGACTAGAAATGGTAAGTACTTTTCCCTCCAAATGTCAGTAGGCAGATTAATGATGCCTTTATAATTATATTTGTCTGTGATATTCAATATGAAAAATGTAATTAATGAAAATTGCAATTTATGTATAGTTACTCAAAAGTTAATTTGTGTACCTTTAAATCATTTTCTTTTTAAAATATTTTATTTATTGCTATTATTATTGGGTGCATCTGATGTGCATGGGTAGGTTCAAGTGTGCAATGGCACAAATGTGGATAACAGAGATCAACGTTTTGGAGTTGATTCTCATCTTTCTATGAGTGCTGGGGATTGACCTCAGATCATCAGCCTTGCATACCAAGCACTTTACCCGCTGAGTCTTCTCAGCCTTCTAGTCTTTATTTCTTCCTTCCTTCCTTCCTTCCTTCCTTCCTTCCTTCCTTCCTTTCCTTCTTTCTTTCTTTCATCATCATCATCTCTCTCTCTCTCCCTCCCTCCCTCCCTCCTTCCTTCCTTCCTTTCCTTCTTTCTTTCTTTTTAGACTGGGTATCTCTATGTAGCCCTGACTGTTCAAGAATGCTCTATGTAGACCAAGCTGACCATGAACTCACACAGAGAGCTCCTGTCAGAGAGCTGACCCTGCCTCCCGAGTGCTGGGATTAAAGGCTTCTACCACCATGTTTGCCACACGCCAATCTGTTTTTCTTGTACTCACTTTTGTCAGTGAGGTTTCTGCAACCAACCAACTAACAAAAAAAACCAAACAATAATAATAACAACAAAACAGCAAACAGGACAGTGTCAATTGCTGATAAACTTCTATGCTCGAGTCTAGTCTGTTTGTATTGAAACTTTTATATAAATCCAGCATGGCTAATTTTACTTCTACAAGTCATGTGAAATTTGTACATTTTTCCATCCTGATAATGTAAGAAGGTGACTTAGTTTTGCATATATTTTTGTTATTTCATTTTAGCTTTACTGAAAACAACAGTAGTGAGCATGGCAAAAAAACCCAATGTTCTATGTACATAAAAATTTTTAGACGATGGAGCTTGAAGTACTGATACCACATTAATCTAAAAGTTGTAGTGTTTGACAAGATCTACAACTATGCAATGATTTTATTTTGTGAAATTCACCTACAAACCAATACATTTTGCCTCTCTGACTATATAATATCTATCTATTTTAAGAACATGTAAACCTGAAGCAGCCACCACCTCTGGCTCTTCTAAGCTATCTACCTCCCTTTTGAGCAAAGTTCTCTGAGCGGTGGGGGAAGTGAAATTATATACACATCATAATAGGGCTGAAAACCATGCTATCTCCTGTTCTTTACACTTTGATCAGTTGTAGCTCTCTGTGTTAATTGCCGTCAAATTCCCAAAGAAGCTTCTCTGATGAGAGTTGAGAGACACTGATCTATAGGAATAGCAATAAGTTATCAGTGGTGAGTGACTCCAAAACAACTGTCTTACTGGCACAGCGAGCGAACAACATCTGTGTAAACTCAAGCCAGGTAAAATCCCAGTAGGTAGTGGACATGAAGTCCCACCTCAAGCAGAGGAGTTATTGGCATTTGATAGCTGCTGGGAAAAGAAGAATCAGTTTTCTTTAATGGTACACTTTCTGGTAAGTCAACTACATTCCAGGGAAGGCCCTATAGCTAAGAGTAGTCTATCAATACAAAACATTGGACACATGATTTTTTTAAGATAGATGGATAGATAGATAGATAGATAGATAGATAGATAGATAGATAAAGAGAGAAAATAAGTATGAAGTTGTGTGGGTAAAGAAGTGGGAATGGATCTGGGAGTAATTGGGGAGGAGGTTGAATACGATCAAAGCACAATATATGATATTCTCAAAGAACTAATAAATATTTTAAAAGAATGTGTAAACTATTAAAACAATATTTAACTATTCTTGTTTCTTATTTGTTCTTAATTAGAATTAGGAACTTTCAGAATTTTATTTGTAGAGAGAAAATATTTGCTATCAAACAATGTTTTATTTTTATTTGCCAAAATACCATCCCTGAATTTTCTAATTATTTTAATTGCTTTGTTAAAAAGTAGTTGTTTGGAAAAGATAAGAACTTCATTTTTAAAAACTCATTCCAGAGACAATTGATTAGGGTTGAAACCACCTTAATGTGACTGAGTCTCATCAAAACATGTAAATTCAGGAATACAAGGGAAAACATTATAGTCAAGGATACATGCAAGGCAGAAAACTATATACCCATGGAACATAAATATTAAATAGAACAAATATAGAAAAAATTTACAGAAATGAAAAAATTCCTATAAATAAAAAGTGATAAACTTATATAAACAAATATTAAAGTAACATATACCATGTTTATAGATAGTAATGAAATACTGTGAAGGTATAAATTCTCTCCAAAATTGATGCATAGATTCAACAAATTGTAGTCAAAATTATACAACCATTTTTTATAGAGTTTGGACATGTGAGTCTACAGAGAGGAGTGGAGGGATGGTTAGCTCTATAGCTGTGGGAAATATAGGGGGGAACCTGCTGTAGCTAATTTCAAGAGTTCTTACTCAGTATGAACATCGAAGATAAAGTGCAGCTAAAGCGCAACTCATTTGAGAAATCAGACTTGAAGTTTAGTGGGAAGAAGGATGTGGTATGGTATTCCCCCAAATATTGTGCATGTTAATAAACTTATCTGGGGTCAGAGACAGAGTAGCCACAATATTAAACATAAAGGATAGGCAGTGGTAGCACATGCCTTTAATCCTAGCATTCTAGAGGAAGAAATCCATGTATTCAAGGATACAGACAAGCATGGTGACTCATCACGCCTTTAATCCCAGAAAGCAAGCCTTTAATCCCAGGGAGTGGTGGTAGAAAACAGAAAGGTATATAAGGCGTGAGGACCAGAAACTAGCAGCATTTGTCTGGTTAATCATTTGGCTGCTTAAGCATTTGGCTGGTTAAGCTTTCAGGCTTTGGAGCAACACAGTTCAGCTGAGACCCATTCTGGATGAGGACTCAGAGGCTTCCAGTCTGAGGAAACAAGACCAGCTGAGGATCCAGCGAGGTGAGACAGCTGTGACTTGTTCTGTCTCTCTGACCATCCAGCATTTCACCCCAATACGTGGCCCGGGTTTGTTTTATTAATAAGAACTTTTAAGATTCCTGCTACAGAAGGAACTAATACATCAGAAAATAGGGAGACAATGGAATCTTCAGAAATGAAGACATGGAAACAGCTACACGTAGAGAAAGTAATGACACTAGAACATGTGCAAAATCCAGGTGGACTGAATTCTTAACATGTCAAAACCTTGAAAATTCCTAGGAGAAAATATGTATGAATATAGACAGCAGGAAGTATCTTCTAAATGATGAAAAAAGACAACAGACATTAAAAAAAAAAACTTGGCTCTATTAACATTTAAATATTTTAAGGACTTATTTATTTTGATACTTTTAATTTTATGTGTATGTTTTGTTACATGTATGTCTATGAACTGCATGTCCACAATGCCAACAGGAACCAGCAAAGAAGCTGTGATCTCCTGGAACTGGAGTTACAGGTGATGATGAGCCACCATGTGGTTTCAGGGCACCATATCCAGGTTCTCTGCAAGAGCAGCAAGTGCTCCTAATTATTAGGCTATCTGTTCAGCCCCACTATTAAATTTAATCCCTTTGTTCATTGAAAGACATTGTAAAAGGGGGCCTAAGAGGTGGTTTAGTGGTTAAGAGCACTTGTCATTCTTGCAGAGGACCCAGGTTTAATTCCAAGCACCCACATTGCCGCTCACAACAACCAAAAACTCTGGTTTCAGGAATCCAACAGCATCTTCTGATCTTTAAGAGCACCAGGCATGGGTGTGCTGTACAGACATACACGCATGCAAAGTACTCGCTCTTATAGAATAAAACAGAATAAATTTTAAAAAGTCTTCGTAAAGTTTAAAAAAAAGATTAAAATTGGGGAGAAGATGCTTACATTGCATGAAATCAACACAATCAAGAACCAGTAATCTATATCTGTATACAGAGAAAAACACAACTTCAAATGAATAAAATTACAACTTATCTTGATAGCAAAGGGAAAGGATGCAGAAAGCAGAGCACACATATCCATATAAAGGGACAACTAGCATTATTAGGGAGCAGAAATGAAAATCAAAACAAGGTGGTAGCATTGATCCCTGTTCAACACAACAAAGTCAAAGTATATCAGTCCAGAAAGAGGAAGGTGGTCTGGAGACTCGGGCTTTCTTGCACATTCGTGGTGTGAAAACGATTAGGGAAAAGCCATTTTGAAAATCAATTTAACATCATTTAAAAAATTTAGCATCTGTA